TATGCTCGATTTGCTATCTCACTCTAAGGGTTAGAAACACGAAGTGTATTGGCATTGGTAAGATAGCTGCCCAAGTACAATCTCGCACACACACATGTGCTCCAATCTAACACAGACACTCTGCTTGACCACATGCACGCACACACACAGACTGGTGTTCGAGTCGACTTCGAAACCAACAGCGAGTTCGTTCGGAGGTGTGGGCGTTTACTTAGATGCTGTGCGCTTCATAGGCGTACGCGAACTAGTCCAGCGACCATGGGTAAGTAATGTGTTAGGCATGTCTAAGGATATTTCATGGATAGCTTAAGTATCACACTATTAAACTAATTCAGTGACCATGGGTAAGTAATGTGTATTACCTGTCAAGGGTAGTACTTGCATAGGTTAAGTATCATATTTTTAAACTATTCCAGTTTCCATGGGTAAATAATGCACGAGATTACAGCTGACCGCTGTGATCATACTAATGCATGGGTAGGCCTGTATACATCCGTTTTGGTGTGGAATAAACTTCGCATTTGCGGTATGATAATTGTACATGTGTGCACAAATACGCAATTATAAACAGATAGCTACATATTTACATACACATACGTATGTACATCCATATCCACATATGTATATACGTGCAAATACAGATACGTAAAAGTAGACTTGTGTATCCTTATCTACAGGCCACAATTTCTGACGACCATTGGAGAATATTCTACCAACCCGTCCAGGGAAGAAACACAAACAGCAGTGTCTCTTTCAGCTTTGTAGCCACACCCTGTGACGTGGGAAACGACCAGGCTCTCCCCGTGGCCCTTGTCAGCTCCGTCATGCCCTGTAAGTATATGTGGGCATATATATATGTATAATATATATATAATATATATATATATATATCAAAATATGGATATAAATATATATCTATATATCTATGTATATATCGATATATACATAAAAATATATAGATATAGACGTATATATGTACATAATATATATATATATATATATGTACGTACGTACGTA